AAGGCTGATTTGAAAGCCTCTGCAGCAAAAGAATCCAAGCCATCCTCCTGTCAATCACCAGAGAAGGCACACCATGGGCCAGCACTGCTCCTGATGTGGTTGAGGGCTGTGACACCAACAACTGCCAGCAGACTTAATGGTATGGCAACAGTACAGACCTGCTGCTGTCACGGCTACTCCAGATGATCCATCTGAAAACCACTATCAGGGACCAAAGGAAAAGTAGCCTGGCTCAAAACAGCCAGTTGGGAAAACAATGGCAGGGAGCAGGTTGAGCTCTGTGTAGATGTGGTGGCAGCTGCTCCTCCCCCAGCCTCTTGAGCCTTAGCAGGTAACTGCAGGTCTGCACTGGAGTGGCTTCGGGGGATGACCCGGCTCTGATGTCAGCCCTGAGATGGATGCAGAAGCTCCTGGCTCTGCCTAAAGCACAGGCACAAGTGTGACCTCATGCTGGGACGGGCCCTGGGTGAAGGGAAACGTGCGTCATGTGGCGCGTTCCATTCCCCTGGGTTGAAAGCTGATGAGACCATGCTGGATCCTTGAGTTAAAGTTTGCATGGAATGTTTGCATGCTGGGAAGTTTACTGATTTTCTTTTTGCCAAATGTCTTGTTCCACACAGGTAACCCAAAGTTCTTAAGTTATTTCTTCTTGACCCTCCCAAGAAGAAATAACTTAAGAACCCGTGCCCGGCTAAGGCTTTGCTCTCTCAAGGTATGCTGAGTTAAAGTTTGCACGGAATGTTTGCGTGCTGAGAAGTTTACTGATTTTATTTTTGCCAAATGTCTTGTTCCACACAGGTAACCCAAAGTTCATAAGTTATTTCTTCCTGACCCTCCCAAGAATTGTTTTTTCTTCCACACCCTGCCCAGAGTAACTCAAAATTACCTCAAAATCAACCCATCCAGCAGACTGGGGTGTTGCACCCACCATCCTCTGCAGCCCAGACAAAATCTATTGTTTATACTAACCCTGTCTCTCCAGGGAAGGACCTGCTGCTTTCAGAATTCTGATGCTTGATGCAGAACTGAAGGTTGCACCAGCCTATGAGGGTTCTCTATCAACTGAACTCATGTCATTTTATGATAAAAACTATGATCAGCTGATTGGTTTAGGGAATGTCTAAGTGCAGCACCTTCTAATTTAAACATCACGGTCAATTAGAAAGTCTAATGTCACATTATGGTATAAATAACATTAGTCAAATAAGACTACGTTTGGTAATGTATCAAAAAGTATTGACAAGAGTCTTTTATCCTACAGAGGACTTTTATTTTTGTCTTTTTCCCCACCTCAATGAACAATTTTGGATCCAGAGTTTATCTTTATCTACTTATGTAGAAGGAGGAAAGAAAAAAAATAACCAAGAGAAACTAGCCCAAATGGAAACATGGATCTCAGGAAAGACAATGCCAAACAGCCAAGGGCAACTGCATCTTAGTAGAAAGACCAGACTATTAAAATCTTAGGCTTAGAAAATTCTTTGTTGACCCATTCTACTTTGTATCTCTCATGACAATGCTATTATACTACAATCCAACTTTCTCCATGGAGACACTGTCAACCAAGAGCTTCCTTGACTGCAGTTTCTATTAAACTTGCTACACTCCATTTTCTAAGTCATACGATGAACCTTCCAGTTAATCTAGTTTTCCTTTTTAAACTTGGAAATTTTTGTGCTCTGAATCAAACTTGAGAAGTTTCTTAGGGAGACTATAATTCTAATTGAAGCACGTCCATCTAATGCATTGAAGCCATAGGGTACAAATCCCTTCCCCTTTTTCTGTGATCCACAAAGGGAAAAAGTGATTGAGTAAAAGCAGCTGAAGAGAAAGACATACCACATTTTGTACAGCTTCATACTTACTGTGCTCTGTGACTGGTTTGTTTCCTGTGCCTTAGAGGAAACATTTTCTTGCTCCTCTTCCTTCAGGGGCTTTGTCACTTCATTCTTTCCTTGAGCCTCTTCCTTCAGGGGCTTTGTCACTTCATTCTTTCCTTGGGCCTCTTCCTTCAGGGGCTTTGTCACTTTATTTTCTTCAGCTGGAATTTCAGTTTGCCCACCTGGACACATCTCTCCTTGTAGGTCTCTTCCAGTACCTTCTGGCTGCTCCAGTGGTTTCTCAGTTGCACTGGCAGCTGGACTACCCTCCACCAAAGACACAGAGCTGCTTGAACATTCATTTCCAAGATTTTCATTGTATCTGCTGCCTGGTGAACAACTTCGATCAGATGTACAAAGGGATTCATCTTTACTGCCACCCTCACAGCCTGAACTGTCAGCATCAGCCAATCCCAGCCTGGCACAAGCAGAATGTTACAAATTAACTTCCATCTATTTTAACTTTTTAAAATAATTTTTTTCAATTGTCACATTTCTCTTTCCAAAACTGACTTCACAGAGATACAGTGGATTACTCTAGCAGCTATTTAGGCTAGTTTAGTAAATGGAAGAGCTGCTGATATTGAACAGGACCCACGTTCCCCCAAAACAGGTATCTCTTTACTGCTTTCCCAATATAGAAATGACTGGAATCACTGACTTTTCTTTCATGTTACATTACATGAAAGGTGCCATGGAGAAAAAAAATAATTTTAAAGTTCATTGTAAATTTATTTCATCAATTAAAAAAAGGAACAATGGGAAGTAGCATAATATAACCATATTAGAAGGGGTAGAGGGTAAAAAAGGGTGCCTGTTTTTCAAACAAAGTTTGTCTGCTCCAACTGGGACAGAATTATATGAACAGAGAAATGTTTACTTTCAGTTCTTCCATTTAATCAGTTCAATTTTCTTATTCCTATTTCAGTCTCCATCTCAGGTTAGACACTGCTTACTTGTATGTATCTAACCTTTGATCATGTTCAAGGCTTAAGACTTGACTTTACAAACAAAGCATGATGCTTACCAAACGCATTTCCTTTTCTGAGATTTTGTTTCATTCTTTCCAGGTTCCCCTGGACGCTTCCGACTCTTGCCACGTTCTGAGGACATTGCTTTGCTCGCAATAACCTGCAATCCTTCAAAACACAAGTTGAAATTTCACTTCAACAGTTTGCAGTACATATATGTTGTAAATTCTACTTTTCATTTCAGATGCAATTCAAAACACTAAGTGTGGCAGAATTTCTGATTGCTAACGGACATGTGAGCAATCCAGCCTTGCTAGCAGGGCCTGAGCAAGCTGCAAGCTAAGCTGTTCAAGGACACAGCTGCAGCTGGAATGTGAGAAAGGAGGTAGCAAGATAAGCAGCTCCTGGCTGTGGGATGCAGGAGCTGAAGATGGTTAGAGGTGGAGAACAATGACTGGGGCATTTTATGATTGATATGTTAATAACCAATTATGTTGTGTGTAAGGTGGGCTAGTAACAGTAGTTAACCAATGATAAGTGGGCACTTATAAGAGGTGTGTATAAAAGAATCACTTTTGTAAATAATAAGAGTCAGTCACGAGATAATAATGGCATCGCCTCTTTGTACGTGAACTCCCACAACTAAAGGAAAAGAATCACTATTGGTGTGCATTCAAAACAAACTCAGTAGCAGGAAAGGCTTTCCTACGTGGATTTACTAAGGCACAGAATCAATTAAAATCGGATTCCTGAACTGAGCTCTCAGGTTCTACATCCCATTCAGCCTCAAGTTTCACTTTGTAGCTGCCAACAAGGGAACTATCTGTGGATAAATAAACTAGAAACCAGGTATTCTGTAGCTGGATTCAAGATCTAGTTTTTATGTAAAACATGTATAATATTACACTGAAAATAACAGTGCAATTCTTACAGCTCAACTAGCAACATCAGCTTCACAGAACTTTGCTCTTATTATGAGATGACACTAGAACAGAAAGATGAAGCATCACTTGTATTATGTTACGCCGTTCAGTGCGAGTTAAGGGACACTGCAAAGGTGAACAATTAAGTCAAACAAATGTTACTGAAATTTAAGATTTCCTTCAATTGGAAGAGTTACCACCAGCAACTTTTTTTTTTTAAAATTTTTCATCCTGCAGTGAGGCTAGGTAAGAGTTGTGGTTCGCTTTATGTTTTGAGGAGGGAACTCGCAGTACCTATGCGGATGGACTCCTCCTGCCGCTCAGCCATCTCGCGGTACTGCTGCTCGTACTCGGGGTCCGTGAAGGTGTGTCGCGGCTCCGCCAGCTTCCGCTGCAGCCGCTCCAAGCGCCTCTGCTCCTTCTCTGCTTCCCGTTCCGCTTGCTTCTTCACCCATTCAGCCATCCTGCAGGTGTCACAACCAGGGAAATCAAGAGCATTTCCAGCACTTACCGTAAGATCAGTTTGTCGCTTTGCAATTACTCAACACCTCCTCCACCTGCTACGAGGGGCGGCAACGGGAAAAGGCAGCTAACGACACCCAGGGGAATTACTGAAGGAATAGATATTCTGCTACAGAAAAGGGAGTAAAGTCTATTCTGGAAGTCAGAAACAGCAGTTAAGGTCACATATCCCCAGTATGGTGGTCTTGAGGCTTCAGAGAGAAGTGTGACAGTTCCAGATGAGGAATCCCAGAGGTGCACAACAGTCTCTCAGAAGCAGAATGCAGTACAATCACATCTGGTTTGCTACAACAGAACTACAGTCGAGAGGGTCCTGTTGGCTTCCAGTTCATCCTTATTTAAGATTTCACTTTTGCTCTTTTTAGTATTCAAAATACAATTTAATTGCTTCAAGGACCTGTCATTTGACCTCTTTGTTAACAGTGAGCTATGGGGTCAGTTTATTTTGTAATTTCTTCTATCTCCTAAGAAAATTCCTTACGCTTTCTCGTGATTGACATCTCGAAGTCTCCTTCCACTGAGGTCTCGGCAAGCCTCTCTGTTCGTTGTCTTCTCAATCTGAGCGCCAAGCGCTCGCAGCATAGATCCAAACCCTTTTTGAGAATAAAGGGATCAAGAATCAGTTAAACAGAAACAGAGATGAGCTAGTACACACCAAAAGAGTTCATTACAGAAAAAGAGTACGGTGAATTCAACACTTTCCCTCAATGCAGCTGTAGTAAAGGGGAAGTTAAAAGTTGCAACATGTTGGACAGTTGTCACTGGGTGAAATGATGAAGTACCAAGGAAAGACAATGGTGCCCCCTCATCTCATTTTTGTGCTCCTGGTGTCACACCAGACTGACCCCAGATTTACCAGAACCTGTGCAACATGTCTAACAGGAAAGCCTATTTCTGGGCTCCCTCAGCAAAATGGTTTGAAACCTCTTTCACCTCAAAATAACATTTTTGGGTTCTTTCTAATTTAGCCGGGTTATACTGATTTCTATACACTCTTCAGCCACTAATTACTCATAAGTAAGACTGCTAATTTCTCTCTCAGTCTCAGCTTATGCTGCCTCCAGCTGGAGAAAGACCCTTGTTTACCTAGCTTGGATTAATAACAACAGAATCCTTTCTGCAATTGCAAAGTGCCAACCACTGATTTTTAACTGGAAGCCGAACCTTTCAGTGCTCCAAAAGGACCTTAAAAAGCCTTACAAACAGTAATGAAGCCAGACAGCCTACTGCACTGTGAGGCGAAAAACCATGTACTGTGTTCAGATAATAAACCCAGTTGCTGCCATTAGTGAGTGCCTACTGCACTGTGAGGCAAAAAACAATGTACTGTGTTCAGACAATAAACCCAGTTGCTGCCATTAGTGAGGGAAACTTTCATAGCTCATGAAACATGCTACTGAATTTTATGTTCTAAAGAATGCAGACTGAGCTGCTACACCTAGCCAGGTATATTCCCCCGAATCAGCAGCTGTCAATAGCAATGCATTCTAAGAACTAAGATTCTGAGAAACGTATTCAAAACACTAACATACTGTGTTCCAACTACACTCAAATACTCTGCTAAACTTGCTTCACCCACCCTGTTCCATTTTAGGGAATGCCCACATTGTTGATGGCTGCATTAATACACAGCTTCAGTTAAAATATTTTGCCAGTATCAGGAGTCCAGTTCAGGCTGAATTCTTCAGTTCTTTGGCTACTGAGATCTTGGCATTAATGTGTTTTTTAAAATAAGAGAAGACAAAAATCAATTAGGTCACATAACACAGTCAAATCACAGACTATTTGTACCTGGAATATTTGTCCCAAGTGACCATGAATGAAACTTAGAAGCCTAAGATAACAGATCCTTTTCAACACAATTTCAACTCTGAACTCGCTTAGGTGCATGTTACAGATTTCTCCTAATAGAGCTAAGCTGAACAGGGTTCTGAAGAAGAGCTACAGCAGCAGAACTGTGAGCTGAACTGCAGCTTCCCTGGTCAATTCTCAGCTTTTTATGCACACTTTGGTTTCAGCTTAGAGACATTATATCAGTCATACACAGGACTCCTGCTATGAACATAGATTATGACATCACTGAATTTTTTTAACCTAAGAATCTAATCACTAACAAGCAATTAAACAACAAACCTCCTTTTCCACCACAAAGTCTTGGCTCCAGACTATAAACAACTCCACTCTGCAACACATCTTCGTCATTAGCCAGTCGCCCGTTACACTTCACATACAAGTTTTCTTCAGGAATGTTCTAAAACAAACAATAAAAAAATTGAGTTACATTGAAAAAGAGTCATATTGACTGAAAATTGACATTCTGAAAAGAAAATCATTAAGCAACAGTGTTTCCTTCCTTCCTACAGGAACAGAGGGAAGGCAAAAATCAGACCATGTGAAAGGCACAAACATTCTCTATGATGCTTGTTTTAATTCCTGTTCACTGAAGAATTAGACGGAAGGGGAAAAGCCGTGCTGTGGGAAAAATTCAGGAACAACCTGACTGACCATTAACCCCCATTCCCTGTCCTCCTGTGCCGCTGAGGGGAAGCAGACAGAGCCCTGAAAGGAGGGAGGAGTAGGGGGAAGGTGTTTTTAAGATTTGTTTTACTTCTCATTATCCTGCTCTGATTTACACAGAATCATAGGATTTTAGGGGTTAGAATGGACCTTACAGATCTAGTTCCAACCCTCCCCTGCCATGGGTAGGGGCACCTCCCCACTAGACCAGGTTGCCCAAGGCCTCATCCAGCCTGGGTTGGGGCATCCGCAGCCTCCCTGGGCAACCTGTCCTAGTGTCTCGTCACCCTCACAGTAAAAAACCTTTTCCTAATCCCTAACCTAAACTTCCCCTCCTTCAGTTTGAACCCGTTACCCCTTGTCCTAGAGGGGCTTTCGACTGGTAACAAACTCCGTTAATTTCCTCGAGTCGAGCCCGTTTTGCCCGTTACAGTAACGGGTGAGTGAGTGATCTCTCCCTGCCCCCTCAGCCCTAGTGTCTCGTCACCCTCACAGTAAAAAACCTTTTCCTAATCCCTAACCTAAACTTCCCCTCCTTCAGTTTGAACCCGTTACCCCTTGTCCTAGAGGGGCTTTCGACTGGTAACAAACTCCGTTAATTTCCTCGAGTCGAGCCCGTTTTGCCCGTTACAGTAACGGGTGAGTGAGTGATCTCTCCCTGCCCCCTCAGCTCAACCTGTGACCCTTTCGTTACCCTTTCTCTCCATGCTGTCTGTATGAGGGGTGTCCTATACACACACCGGACTC